TCACCAGCCACACTCNCTAGCTCCGGAATATCGTCCGCGGGTCCCCCCCGGGTATTCTCCGTACCGCTGTCCGCCACCTCACGATCGTGCCGTGCTACCTTTTCATGCAGAAGCACATACAAACATGCGCAAATAACTAAAACAAAAACGCACGTTAAACAACTTGCCAATGTGGCCTCATGGGAGGTGACGGGACTTTGGGAAATAGCTACACGACAAAACACGTCAACAGCCGAGACAACGGCACGCAACGAGACAGACAGATAGATAAACTGACTCACAGACAGACAGACAGACAGGCAGACAGACCGAACACACCAGGAACAATGACATGGCAATGACAGGGGCGCTGGACTGCAGGTCTCGGTGTGCCAACCGCCAAACTACCATCCAACTACTACCAGCTAACACATAAGCATCCCAGGGAAAAAGAGCGCTGTATGACCCACGGGTCCGTCCAAGCCCACGCTGCTGCTTCCCCTGCCCTCTCCCGTCCCCACCTGCTCCGCGGACGCCTCGCTGGTAGTGGCAGGCGGTAGTGGTAGTGGCAGGCGGTGTCCTTATGTCCGGTTGCGGTGGGCGTTGTGCTGTTCTATTGCCGACGTGGAGCGAGACGTTGGTTGAGTTTGTGTGCGCGTGGAAGAAAAGGGTTTTGTAAGGGGGTAGCGGCGGTTGGAGTTGGGCGAGAGGGAGGAGGGATGGCGGGTGCAAAGGTGCTGCCGGCGGGTATTAGTCCTGGTGGAGTTATGTGGCGGGTGGAGAGCAGTTTTCGGGACATGCCGAGTATCGAGTGTCACGTGTAGATGTGTATGCGGTTTTCTGCACCAACCTCACAACCACATTCCCCCTCTTCCCGCCTCCCGGCGCCCACAGGGGGCCCCTGTCGCACTCACGTTCCTTGCACGTGGAAGTGGTACATACATACATGCATACATACATATTTACACAGGTAAACCACAACACACGCGGCAACCGAGCTAGCTAGCCGCCATCACGACCGCCACACGGGGGGCCCCGCCACACCCCCAGCTCACCTTAAGCCGACCGACGCCCGACTTTCCCCGCCGCCGCCGCCACCGCCACCCCTTCCTTCTCCGGAGGGGCGCCGCGGCTGCCCGCCTGACGTGGCGTACGTAGGCCGTACTCGGCACCCATCTCCCCGTGGGGGCCGATGACGCCTGCGTGTCAGAGAAAGACGTCAAAACACAACATAGACACGATAAACACACATATATACATACACGCACACACTCTCTGTTGTCGTTACGCATACATGTGCACAGGCATAAAGCGGGACAAGCATATGCAGGCTGTTAAGGAGGCTGCATGCACGCGGGGGGTGACATGCAGCCCAACCTTCCTAGTGGGTGTACGCGCACGCGCATGAGTGTACACTCACATCATCGCGTAGCGAATTTCCCCCGGGGTACATATCACCTGGTTCGCCACCGTAGCGGATCATCCCGCCCTTCGCCCCACGCCGTATACCTCGTGACTGTAGTTCCCAGGTTTCCTTCATCTCCCCTTCAACCACCACCCGCACCCGCGCCCGCGCCCGCACCCGCACCCACACCCGCACCCGCACCCACACCCACACCCACACCCGCACCCGCACCCGCACCCGCGCCCGCACCCGCACCCACACCCGCACCCACACCCGCACCCGCACCCACACCCGCACCCACACCCGCACCCGCACCCGCACCCGCACCCACACCCACACCCGCACCCACACCCGCACCCACACCCGCACCCACACCCGCACCCGCACCCGCACCCACACCCGCACCCGCACCCACACCCGCACCCACACCCGCACCCGCACCCACACCCGCACCCACACCCGCACCCATACCCACACCCACACCCACACCCACACCCACACCCACACCCGCACCCACACCCACAC